CTCGCCACGACGCCAGCCGCACCGGCCGCGCCGTCCCGGTTCTCCAACAAGACCGAAGTTTTTCGTATCTGCTCGGCATACTTCCGCTGCTCATTTCGGAAAACTGAGACCACCAGCAGACTCGCCGCCCTCAGGCGACCCACATCCTGAAATTTCATCATCAACGGTCGCCGGACGCCGCCGCACGCACCGCCCCGCGCCACTGCGCCTTCGACTCAGGAAGTCCACCGCCGTTCACCGCTGTTCACCGGTGTTTTGGACATCCTCCGCCGTGTTTCTCCAAAAACCAACACCAACCCACGACTCGCCGCCCTCAGTCGAGTCGGCCAGCCAAATTTCGCCGCATTCCTCCATCGAACGCGCCCTCACGCGCCGCTCCAAGCCTTTGCGCGTGAGATCCACGCGCCGGCGAGCCCTGCACGCGCCGGCACGCGCCTGGACGTGCCCGGCACGCGCCTGGCACGCGCCGGCACGCGCCTGGCCCACGCCGACACGAGCCTGGCCCACGCTCCCAGCTGACGTCACCGCCACCGGTCGTTGACCTCCCGTTGACCGGCGTTGACCGGCGTTGACGTTGGCGTTGACCAGACCGGTTTTTCGGCCGGTTTGACCATTTCCTGACCGGTTTTCGGTGTTTTCCAACCGGTTCTTGAGGTATTCCGACATCCTGAGCTGGTTTTTGGTGTTATTTTTCCCATATCTGCGCTCAGTATACTACATTCCGTTGATTCTATAGTAGTAAAGTGCCTTTCATGGATAGAATGGATAGAATGGAAGTCTCAATGCCAATTCAGACTATTTTGAATGGTTCCAATTATATTTTATGGTCTCAAGAGATATCAAGTTTCTTAAAAGGACGCCGGCTTTGGCGTTATGTCACTGGACAAATTAGGGAACCTACTAGAATTGCTGAAGAAACTGATGATCAATTTGTGGATCGTTTGGATGAATGGGATAGTAGAAATCATCAGATTCTCACATGGTTTCGAAACACTTCGATCCCATCTATTCGACTCCAGTTTGGCCTTTTTAATACAGCCAAGGAAGCTTGGGATCTTCTTGATCGTCGTTATTCTAGTTCAGATGTTGCCCATCAATATCGGTTGTTAGGGACTTTATATCACATGCGTCAGGAGCAAGGTCAGTCCATTAATGATTTTCTATCATCTATGCATGCTATTTGGGATCAGTTGACCTTGTGTGAACCACGCTTGGAAGGGGATAGTAACATTCGCAAAGTTGCTGAACATCGTGATCGCATTCGTGTCATGCAATTTTTGATGGCTCTAAATGATGAGTTTGAACCTGTGAGAGCTTCCATTCTACATAGAGATCCCTTTCCCTCTATTGAGACAGTTGTATCAGATTTACTGAATGAGGAGACTCGGCTAGCTACCTTGAAAACGCAACGTCCTGCTGTGCCTATATCCATGCCCACGGATGCAGTACTTGCCGCTTCGAGTTCTTCCTCCATGCGCCGTCCATTTTGCAAACATTGTCGCCGATATGGTCATATGGCATCAAATTGTTATCGGCTACGACCTATGCAATCCACAGGATCGACCACTCAGCCTCGTAGCCGAGGTCCCTCACGAGGTCCCTCTGTCGGTCCATCTGCCAATGCTACCACTGTAGAAGCTTCTTCCCATGGATCGTCCCACACACTAGTGTCTCTAGAGGATCTTCGCACTATTCTCCGAGAATCTGGTACCTTTACTCCTCCTATTCCTAGCACTTCTACTATGTCTACTACTCCAGGTATTTCTGATTCTTGGTTCTTTGATTCTGCTTGTTGCAATCACATGACATCAAATTCTGCCTTATTTCAGTCTAAATCCTCCGCTTTACATGCACCTCATATTCTTACTGCCGATAATTCACATATGAGAGTTAGTCATACAGGAAACATTTCCACATCTACATTATCTTTAACTAACACATTCCTTGTTCCTAAACTCTCACTTAACTTGATCTCTGTCGGCCAATTGTGTGAACTTGGTCTTGATATTCACTTCTCTTCTCATGGTTGTCGTGTGCAGGATCCTCGGACGGGACAGACACTTGGGACAGGCCGTAAAGTGGGGCGTCTCTTTGAGCTTGTTTCCCTAAATATTCCGACCCCTTTTGCTGCTTGTGCTGCCACAGTGTCCTCTGAAACTTGGCATTCTAGGTTAGGTCATGCTTCCTTTTCTAGGTTAAGCTCTTTAATTTCGAGTGGTCATTTAGGTTCTGTTGACACTAAACATTTTGACTGTCTGCCTTGTAAGTTGGGAAAACATCATGCTTTACCGTTTCAGACTAGTGATTCTGTGTCTCATGCTCCTTTTGATCTCATTCACTCTGATATATGGGGACCTTCCCCCACTCCCACCATGGGTGGCTCTCGCTATTTTGTCATTTTTGTGGATGACCATTCTCGGTATACTTGGGTTTATCTTATGAAAAATCGTTCTGAACTTTCTCGTATTTATCGTGATTTCGTTGCTATGGTTAAAACCCAATTTTCACGAGATATTAAGATTTTTCGTACTGATAATGCTATGGAATATAGAGATACAGAATTTCTTCGGATTCTTTCTCAAAATGGTACTATCATTCATCGCTCTTGCCCTGGCACCTCTCAACAAAATGGTAGAGCTGAACGTAAGCATAGGCATATCTTAGATGTTGTACGCACTCTGCTCATCTCTGCCTCTTGTCCTGAACGGTTTTGGGGGGAAGCTTGTCACACTGCTGTTTACACTATAAATCGTACTCCATCACCTATTATAGGTCACATCTCTCCTTACGAGCGTTTGTATGGTAGTGTCCCAAATTACACTCTTCTACGTGTTTTTGGTAGTGCCTGTTTTGTGCACCTTCATCCACATGAGCGCACGAAATTAGAACCTCGTGCCCATGTATGCTGCTTCCTTGGATATGGCATTGAGCATAAAGGGTATAGATGTTGGGATCCCGCTTCCAATCGTCTTCGTGTGTCTCGTCATGTCACGTTTTGGGAACACAAGATGTTCTCCTCTATTCATCCCTTCGACCCCTCTACTCATGTTCCTTTCTTTACCAATCCTTCCGTGGACTTATTTCCAGAAGACACTACACCTCCATCCACATCTGACTCTTCCATTCCAGATGTACATTTCTCTCATCTTGAAGCAGGACATTCTGGTGACCCTACTTTGGCCACTTCTGACGTGTCTGCACCTCCCGCGGATTCTCCACCAGCGGTCATTCCTTCATCCTCTGATCGTCGCCCCACCAGAGTAAGTCAACCTTCTGTTTGGCTTCGAGATTACCATTGTTATTCTACAATAGCTTCCCTTCATGAACCTCGCACATACAGAGAAGCTAGTACTAACCCTCTTTGGCAGAAGGCAATGGTAGATGAGTTACAAGCTTTAGACAAATCTCATACTTGGGATTTAGTTGCTCTGCCTCCTGGTAAGTCCGCTGTCGGTTGTAAATGGGTGTACAAGATTAAGACAAAAGCAAATGGTACGTGGACCGCTATAAAGCTCGCCTCGTTGCAAAAGGCTTCACTCAGAATATGGCATTGATTATGAAGAGACTTTTGCCCCGTTGCACGTCTTACTTGTCATGAGCCTTCCATTTGTCGTCGTTAGCGTTGGCTCGCATTTCGGATGGATGTCAAAAATGCATTCCTAAATGGCGATCTCACCGAGGAAGTTTATATGGTACCTCCTCCTGGCTACACTCATTCTTCCCACCAAGTGTGTCGATTACGTCGTGCATTATATGGATTGAAACAATCTCCTCGTGCATGGTATTCCAAGTTTAGCTCCACCATGGCATCTCTTGGCTTTAAATCTAGTCCCCATGACCACGCTCTTTTTGTTCAACATACTTCTCGTGGATCTATTCTCCTGCTTCTATATGTTGATGATATGGTTATTACTGGAGATGATCGTCCTGGAATTTCAAAACTCAAGCATTATCTTGGTCAACAGTTCGAGATGAAGGATCTCGGACAACTTAGTTATTTTTTAGGCTTGGAGGTTACTTCAGACACATCCGGATATTATCTTTCACAAGCCAAATATGCCACTGATCTTCTTTCTCGAGCAGGACTCACGGACACCAAGGTCGTTACGACCCCTCTTGAGATCAATGCCAAATTTGATGCCGGTGATGGGACTCCTCTCCAAAACCCTACCCTCTATCGACAGCTAGTTGGCAGTCTTATATATCTTACTGTTACTCGCCCTGACATCGCTCATGCTGTTCATATTGTCGCCCAAGACATGACAGCGCCTCGTACAACTCACTTTGTTAGCAGTTCTTCGTATTCTTCGCTATGTCAAGGGTACGTTATTTCATGGCCTTCACTTTTCTCGCTCATTCGACATTGGAGTTGGATCGCCTATTCGGATCTCGATCGGGCCGGTGACCCTCAAGATCGTCGTTCCACTACGGGTTATTGTTTTTTCTTGGGCACTTCACTTATCTCCTGGCGTAGCAAGAAACAATCCACTATTGCTCGTTCTAGTACGTGTTCGAATATCGAGCTCTTGCTGATACCACATCGGAGTTATTATGGTTGCGATGGCTACTGGAAGATATGGGAGTCCGTCATCATAGTGGGACAATCCTTCATTGCGACAATCGCAGTGCTATCCAAATTGCACATAATGATGTTTTCCACGAACGCACCAAACACATTGAGATAGATTGTCACTTCATCCGCTCTCATGTTCTTCGTGGCACTCTACGACTTGTCTTTACTTCATCAGCTAATCAGATTGCCGATATCTTCACAAAGACACATCCACCTGGGCGCTTCTTAGATCTTCTCTCCAAACTCCAGTTGACTTGTTTCAACTCATCTTGAGTTTGCGGGGGGATGTTAAACATAATATGTAATTTAGGTTTACTGTTCATTCATTTAGGTTTACTGTTCATTCTTTCCCTATATAAAGGGACTTGGCCTTGTAGTTCAATGCAAGTAATATACACAAATTTCACTCATCTCAACCTGATGATTTTATCTCGACAACGAAGAAGCTTCAAGTACAGTATGCAATGTTCCCCGTTCCACCGACGCAAAAGGACAATCAAATCAACGGCTATCTATAAGCTTTCGCCTCCGAAGGGACGTTCCCGGTTTTCGTTTCGTGCCCGAGACAAGATCTTCTAGCGAAAGAGCTGCTTCCGCCCTCTCGTTCTCTCCATCTTTAAGCCCTTGGCGCCAATCCGGGGAGCTTCAGGACATAGGCAATGGCGGAGAAGAAGCCGACGATGCACGCGGTTTGGTATGAGTCTTACGGCGGAGGACCCGCCGGCTTGAAGGTGCGCTAATGTCTTCCGGCTCTCGACCATATCTCGCGATTCGCACACGCGCACGCGCGTATACGCATTTCGAAACTAACACCAGACCCCGTATATGTGTTGAATTAACAGAGTTTGCATTGACGAACTCTGTTAACTTGTTCTCGGACAACTTGTGCTGTCAATTGGAGCCTTTCTTGCTTTTTAGATTCTTCTATTCCAAACGGAACAGAGGAAGAAGCTGTTCAGTGTTCTCGAATCTCTGAGTTTGGTGGAAACAGAGAAGATCTTTGTTATAGAACGTTCTCCTAATGTGAGAGTGCACAAGGCGGCACAAAGTGAGCCCCAAGCTTATAGCCTTCTCGGTCACGTTTGTCTGTTTTCTTATTGAGCTTTTGACGATAACGTTTGCATCTTCTTTGGTCCTTTTTCGGCCAAGCTTTTTCTTTTTCTCGTTTCTTTGTCCGGTATGACTGGACCCGATCTCAATTTTGGTTGTTGGCGTTGAGAAAAATCAACGATGAATCAGAAGATATAAAACCAACGATGTTTTGGACAGGAATATCTGTCTAATAATTTGAAGTCTAAATTCTGAATTCGATCTGCTCCTACACCAGAAGAAGACCGGTAGAACCCACGGATCGACCTATAATCATGCTTATATACGTTAGATCCACTTTTGTGAGTCAATGTAAGATCCCTTGCTCGTGAAGTGTTTCTCTATGGACTGCATATAGTCTGGAATTTGGGTATTGGGAAACAGTGAAAAAACTGCTTTTCTTCAAGTTAATTGATCTCTTTATTTTTCTGTTCTTTCGTGAGCTGACATGTATTAATCCTAAAATCTGATTGATGTTATATACGACTCCTCTGTTCTTCTTTGTGTAGATACGTGTTTGAGTGGTTTTGGTTGTCAATTATCTGGGCGTCGGTTGTGCTTTTGATTTGCCTTACATGCCGTGTTACCTGTTCTTTGCGCTTCTTGCAGCATGTGAATATCCCGGTTCCTGACCCTAAAAAGGACGAGGTTTTGCTGAAAGTAGAAGCGATTAGTATAAATCCTTTTGATTGGAAAGTGCAGGATGGACTGCTGAGACCAATTCTTCCTCGCAAGTTCCCTCAGATACCTGGTATTGGGTTGAAAACCCGAAATTGCTTTTTTCCCCTCGTTGTTGAGAAAAAAAAGTGTGACGTCTTTTACAATGTATGGATCTCTGGGTGTAGAGTTATTTCTTAAAGATTGTTCATGTTTGCTTGGGTAGGCAATATAGTCAGTATAGTTGCATAATGCCCTCATTCATCTGTTGTGCTTAAGAGATGACTATGCCACTTTCATTTTGGAGACTGCACTATGTTATAACAAGAACCGATTCATGCAGACTATTTTACTACTTTCAAGCATTCATGTCTGTCATCATCTTCTCCCTATCTAACCCGTGGGTTCGAGCCATTCGAAAGGACGTGCGATTGCAATATCGTTTGGTTGCTTCTGGTTTGTGCCAGCGCACGGGAATGCTTATGCGTTTGGTATGGTCTCGAGGGCAGGACATCATGTTTCGAGGTGTTAGTGGGAATGATTTGGAGATAGGCATGTTTCTTCTGTCAAAGCATATGTACTGAATACAAGTGCAATTTGACGTCTTTTGTCTCTTCGCCTTCATTTTTACAGCCACGGATGTAGCAGGAGAGGTTGTCAAGGTTGGACCAGCAGGCAAGAAATTTAAACCTGGTGACAAAGTCGTAGCCGTCCTCAATCCCCTTGTAATGCTCACCCTTCTTCATGCCTTGCCTTTTATCTTTTGACTGGTCTTGGATGTTGCTATGATGCTGGATCAAAGACTGGAATCAGAATTGACCTTTTTATAGATTGAGAGAGTTCCTGGAATGGCTGATTTCTCTCCTAGTCCGTTCGTGTAACTCGTGCACGCTAGTTCAGACCCGCTAATGTTAGATCATTCTCGGCCTTTGTTTGATAACCTGACAGGCAGGAGGTGGATTCGCCGAGTTCACCGCTGCAAAGGAGAGCCTAACGGTGGCGAGGCCGCCTGAAGTATCGGCACCAGAAGGGGCAGGGTTACTCGCAGCCGGCCTAACTGCTCTCCAGGCCCTCACCCAATCTGCCGGGCTAAGGCTCGACAGGAGCGGACCGCTGAAGAACATCCTGATCACCGCTGCCTCGGGCGGTGTCGGCCACCACGTGGTTCAGCTCGCGAAGCTAGCGAATACACACGTGACCGCAACTTGCGGGGCTCGCAACATCGACTTCGTCAAGAGCCTCGGCGCCGACGAGGTCCTCGACTACAAGACCCCGGAGGGAGCCGCCTTGAAGAGCCCCTCCGGGAAGAAGTACGACTTCGTGGTCCACTGCGCAGTCGGATTCCCATGGAAAGTTTTCGAGCCGAACTTGAGCGCCCGCGGCAAGGTGATAGATCTCACCGCGGGTGCCAGGGCCATGATGACTTTTGCGCTCCAGAAAGTCACCTTCTCCAAGAAGCAGCTCGTGCCGATGGTACTGTCGTCCAAAGGTGAGAACCTGGAATTCCTGGTTAACTTGGTTAAGGAAGGGAAGCTCAAGACCTTCATCGACTCGAAGTATCCTTTGAGCAAAGCAGAAGATGCTTGGGCTAAGTCTATCGGCGGTCGCGCCACTGGCAAGATCATTGTAGAGCCATGAGACTTAAGTGCTGGTGTGTTCTTGAGAAGTGTAATTTCACTTAAAACCCTACGTGGACCACCACGTCAGCGATTCCCCAACAGCAATCGGCCGGAAGGACTACATTCGAACTTCGCTCAGAGTCCATAGGCAAGAGATTGAAAAGCTTTTTTTGTTGAATTGGTATCCGTACAATAGGTTTAGGACTGAATCGATAATCTTCTCCCTATATCCATCGTTTGTATTGTTTAAATATTGTTCAATAACAAACTCAACTGGAAATTATGAGCATTATTGATATTTTTCTAGTGAGAACATCGTATGTAAGTACCTGTTGTGACGGCTCGACCGTCTTCTCTTCCCCTTAATTCTAAGTTATCTCACTGGCGTACTAAAGCGGATACCTGAGACAAGAGGACCGATATATCCTCCACCAAGTATCAAGTGTCGTCGCACCACTTGTAACGACCCGGTTCGTCTCAAACGAGCCAAAACACCCAAAACAATATTCGGAATAATCACATAAGGCGACCATGATCGGAGCGTGAGTCTTGGTCGCAAATAACATTACAAGTAGAACCGGTAAAATGGGTCGACAACCCACTTTTTCACTGATTTATAAGATTGCGGACGGATCACCTAAAAAAAAATTTTTAAGCAAATTGAAATTAGTTTAATGGTGCATTTGTTTCGCAAAAAATGAATGATCTGAAAAATATCATCATACAAATAATCGTTTGTATCGCTCATAAATATGAACGAACGAACGAAAATTTTTATTTTATCGCGCATGACAATGATTAGACAGAAACTGTTGTTCGATAATGAAATATTTTCATTGACTAATAATTTCAAGCGATGTTGGTAATGCCTTCGAAATGATCTCGTCTAAATTTATAATGGGGCTTATGAGTGATAGAATGATCTCGAGAGAGACCTACTATACTCGTATCTAGGCGTGAACCTTGGCGCATGCGTTTGAGGTTTTAGACACTAAAAGACAGATCACAGCTCAATGTGATTGGTCTGAATTTACTGTGGACTATCGAGTGTGTTTTATAGATGAGCTCAAATCATCTGATGTATCTGCATCTTGCAAGACAACCGGCATATGCAAACAAGTCGTGTTTTTTTTTTTTTTTGGTCGAAACAAGTAGTGTTCAATACAAGCATTTTTCAGCATTTTAGATTTTGTTTAGTTTTCACGATGAATCTCAATAATAATCACAACTCGCGTGTTTCGGACACGAAAAAATAAGTAAATAAACAGAATGACTTTTTCGCATCGATTCGACAAGTTTTAAAATTTGATTGTATTATTTATAAATGTTAAGACTCGATTGCACTTTTGCAATAAGTTTGACGATTTCTAACGGGGGAAAATTACCAAAGTCACAAACCTATCAATTCAGTCATAAATCTTGCTTTTTTTCCAATTGAGTTCCAAACAAAGCATTTGTATCAATTCAGTTCATCCGGCTAATTTTAACCGGAAATCGCTGACATGGACGCCGACTGTCCTACTTGGCGTTGACATAGATAACTTTTAATATGATATCAATTAACTTCAATGAAATGATTTCACTAGACTCAACCAATTATAACTTTTAATATGATATCAATTAACTTCAATGAAATGATTTCACTAGACTCAACCAATTAATTTTTTTTTTGGTCGGTCATACTCTATTTCTCACTCACGATACACACTCAGACTTGCGCCTCACCTCTTGCAGGGCGTGGGCGTCGAAACCCACATCTTAAACTACGCGGCCCCACACCTATCCCCTGCGAAGGTGGGGATTCGAACTCCCCACCTCCCCCTTCTCAAGTAAGAAGGGTGGCCACTGGGACCAATTAATTATCTTGATCATGGAATATCATCGAGAAATAAGAATCTGTATTATCAAAAGATTTCCTGCATTATTTCTAGTATGTAATGAGTCAATCACCAACTTTGATTTCTTATTGAACAAAAATGGTGATATTGTTCCTCCATTGATCAAGAATTTTTATTTTTGGGAAGTATCGTGATCATCCGGTAATGGTTTCCATTTTTTCAAATGAACGATTTGAAGCCCTATTAATTCTAAAAAAGAATGAATGTATCTTGTAGGATTCTCAAGAAATTCTTCAATTTCTTCCGGAAGCGGATGATTCTTCATCTCCTTCTCACATTCCATGAATAGCCAGGAATATCCATGAATATTTTTTTGAATTTTTTATTTTTTTCCTCTTTTTCTTTTCTTTCTCTCTCTTTTTTTTTCCTTCCCTTCTTCCTCTTGCTAGCAAGGTTGACCTTATTAGCCACTAGTGCCGGCCACTAGCGAGGGCGAGCCTTGCCATGGATCGCCCACCCCTGCCCTCGCCTCTTGGTTTGATGACTAGCTAAAGGAAGAAGGGAAGGCAAAAAAAAAAAAGAGAAAGAAAAAAAGAATAAATAAATAAATAATTCGAAAAAAAAAATTAAACTATTATTAAAAATTGTCCACGTTAATCCCTTGCTAAACATCGTGCTCAACTTTTCGAGTATATCTTTAATCTCAATTGGATCAGGAAAAACACGAGCTAAAACTTGAATGATTAGCTCAAATAGGAAATTGTCTTAACTTGATAGCTTGAGGAATCGAATTTCTATCAAGGAAAATTACTTGATTAGTCGAAAACCCATTATACAGATGTCAATTCAGCTGTAAAGTTTCTAAAATTTAGTCCTAAACCTTTACGCGAAATTTCAATATAGTCATTCCGGACAACTTTAGCCTAAAATCGCTGACGTAGCGGTCCAGGAATCGCCAGCCCTACGTGGCACATCGCCGTATTAGGCGTCAGCGATGTCCGGGCGAAAATAGATCAGTAGGATTACATTGGAATTCCACGCAGAGATTTAGGACTCAAATGGCCAAATCGAAATATTTAATGATTGAATTGGCGTTCGTATGATATATTTAGGACTTAAATTAACTAATTTCTCCAATTTCCGTCGTACGTCTCAATTCATACACAAATCCGCTCCTTGATTTTGAAAGCGACTCGGCTCGTATGGTGCCAAAAGACTAGCAAATTTGTGAGCAATTCTTGTGTTTTCTATGACCAATAGGTTAACTCATTGTTCCTAGCTTTATCCGGACGTATCCAAATCAGGCTTCTTTCTATCGTTTCGACGCACTTGGTTTCATCCCCCCACCTTTCGCTCTCGTCCTTCTCAATGCTCAGCGGGTAGCAGGATAAGGGAAACCGAATCCCGATCATGCCCTCGCCTCGTTTCCCCCTCTCTCCGGACCTATTACGGAAACCGTCTCCCACCGAGGCGAGGCTATTCCAGTCATTTCCTAAAAGAGAATCGACGGCTATGAATACGCGGTTCGCCTCCGAACGGACGGTCCCGGTTCCGTTTCCGTGGCCCCGACAAAACCATCTCTTTCGCGAGAAAAGGGTGCTTCTTCCCACCTCTCGCTCCTCTAGATCTTCACGCGATTCGAGGGAGCTTCGGGGGAATCGGAAAATGGCAGAGGCGAAGCCGACGATGCGCGCGGTGTGGTACGAGTCTTACGGCGGAGGACCCGACGGCCTGAAGGTGCGAACGTCTTCGGCTCTCGATCGCCTCGCGATTCGTCTCTATGCACGCGCGTACGCGCGCGCGTATATATACGTGCGACGCGAAACTAGCGCCGGACACCCTGTATGTGTCGGAAGTAGCGAAGCTCGCATCGACGAATTGTGTTCGTGTGTTATCGGATGGCTTGTGCCGTCAAATGGGTCGTGGTCACTTTGGTGAAAATGTTGAAGCTGGCCCTTCTTTGCCTTTTAGATTCTGCTGCTGATGCTGTTCAGTGTTCTCGTCTGTTGGTTTCTAGACTCTGCTGGCGTGTTCTGTTCCATTTTTTATTGGAGCCGACGACCTTTGTTCTTTTGGGTAGTAATTGACTCTACGGTTGAGTTCCCGGGACGTAAGAAATCGAGGGGTAATGGTGAAGGTGGATAAAATTTTGACTTTTGCGCAAGCGCAGCGATGGAGTTCGGTCAGATTTTGCTCACGTGACAGAGTAAAACGCTTATACTGCTACGGATTGTGATTTTTAATGAATAATATGTGAGGATTCCGTTGACCGACGCAACCCTTAGGGACAGAGCTTTGGAAACAGAGAAGATCTTTGTTATAGAACATTCTCCTTATGTAAGAGAGAATAAAGTGGCACCTATTAACCCCCAAGCTTATGGTCCTCTTGTCCCGTTTATCCATTTTCCTTGCTGACCTTTTGATGATTAACGTTTGCATCTTCTTTTGGTCTTCTTTGTCCTGTGTGACTGGACCCAATCGCGATTTTTGCCTGTCGGTGTTGAGAAAAATCGATGATGAAGCAAACAGAATGTGTTTTTTACAGGAATATGTATCGTATAATGTGAAGCCTAATTCTGAATTTGATCTGCCCCTATGCCAGAAGAAGACCGGTAGAACCCGGGAATAATGAAAAATCCACTATTGTGAGCTAATGTAAAATCCCTTGCTCTGTAAGTGTTTTGTCACAATACATGTTGGCTGGAGTGTTTCTCCATTGACCGCATAAAGTCAGGAATTTGGGTATCATAAAACAGTGAAAAAGGTGCTCCTTTTCAAGTTAATTGATCTTTTTTTTTTTCTGTTCTTTCTTGAGCTGACAGATATTAAACACGATCTGATTGATGTTATAAATATTTCTTCTGTTCTTCTTTGTCAAGATATATCTGTCATTTGTGCTTTATATTTGCATTACATATCATGTTACCTGTTCTTGTGCTTCTTGCAGCATGTTGATATACCCGTTCCTGCACCTAAAAAGGGTGAGGTTTTGCTGAAAATAGAAGCGACTAGTATAAACCCTGTTGATTGGAAAACGCAGAAAGGAATGCTGAGGCCACTTTTTCCTGCCAAGTTCCCTCACATACCTGGTATTGTGTTGAAACTGGAACTTGCTATTTGTCTTGCCTTGTTGAGAAGAAGTGTGATGGTTTCCCAAATGTATGGATCCTTGGGGGAAGAGTCATCTCTTAAAGATTGTTCATATTTGCTTGGGTAGGCAATATAGTCAATATAGTTGCATTATGTCCTCATTCATCTGTTTTTTCTTTTATAAACTTTGGGCCAATTCGTTCATGCTATTTACTTTTGTCCGCTTTATCACTGATTTGGTGAATCTATTGTGCTTAAGAGATGACTATTTTATTTTCATTTTGTGGACTACAGTATGTTAACAAGAACCAATTCGTGCAGACAATTTTACTACTTAAAGCATTCGTGTGCGTCATTGTTTTTCCCTATCTAAACTGTGGCTGTGAGCCATTTTGAATGATTTATTGTTTGGTTGCTTCCGGAATGCGCGTGCGTATAGGAATGCTTGTGTTTGTGTGTGTGTGTGAGCATGTGCTGGGTCCATGTTGGGAATGCTGATAACTAGATTATCTGGGATTGTCTTGAGGGCAGGACATTGTTTTCCGTGGTTTAGTGTCAATGATTTGGGGTTAGGCATGTTTCTTTTGCCTTCTAGTATGCTCACTCTTTGAGCTTCATCTATGGGCTGGTTATTTTGTTAAGCATATGTGCTGAATATAAGTGTAACTTCGTATCTTTTGTCTCTTTGCCTTCATTTTACAGCCACTGATGTAGGAGGAGAGGTTGTTGAGGTTGGACCAGCAGTCGAGAAATTTAAACCTGGCGACAAAGTCGTAGCTCTCCTCGATCGCTTTGTAATGCTCACCCTTCATTTTTTGCATTTTATCTGTTGGTAAGATTGTTTTTTGCGATGATGGTGGATCACAAACTGGAATTAAAGTTAACTTTTTCACAAATTGCGAGAGTTCTTGGAACAACTGATTGCTCTCTTAGTCAGTTTATGAACTCCTACACGCTAGTTGAGGCCAGCTGATGTTAGACCATTTTGTGCTTTTATATGATAACCTGTCAGAAAGGAGGAGGATTTGGCGAGTTTGCCGTCGCAAAGGAGAGCCTAATGGTGGCAAGGCCACCTGAAGTATCAGCACCAGAAGGGGCAGGGTTACCAGTAGCCGGCCTCACTGCTCTCCAGGCCCTCACCCAAGCTGCTGGGGTAAAGCTCGACGGGAGTGGGCCACCCAAGAATATCCTGATCACCGCTGCCTCAGGCGGCGTTGGCCACTACGCAGTTCAACTCGCGAAGCTAGGAAACACGCACGTGACTGCAACTTGTGGGGCTCGCAACATTGACTTTGTCAAGAGCCTCGGCGCTGACGAGGTCCTCGACTACAAGACCCCAGAGGGAGCTGCCTTGAAGAGCCCATCCGACAAGAAGTACGACTTCGTGGTCCACTGCGCGCACGCTTTCCCTTGGTCAGTTTTCGAGCCGAACTTGAGCGAGCGTGGCAAGGTGATAGATATCACCCCAAGCTTTGGCACGATGATGACTTTCGCTCTCAAGAAACTCACCTTCTCCAAGAAGCAGCTCGCGCTGTTGTTGTTAACGGCCAAGGGCGAGAATCTGGACTTTCTGGTTAAGTTGGTTAAGGAAGGGAAGCTCAAGACTGTCATCGATTCGACATATCCGCTGAGCCAAGTGAAAGATGCTTGGGAGAAGTCTATAAGTGGTCACGCCACTGGTAAGATTATTGTAGAGCCATAGGGACTAAATACTGATTGCTGGTGCTTTTGTGGGTGTTGTCTATGGTAATGATTTGCTTCTTGCTGTGAATGTTGTTGAACGTTTTTGTTCATTTTCACCTATAGAAAGGTTTCTGGAATGTATGATATCACTTTGAACAGAGCGATTTACATTATATTGAAGTGCTTATACTTGTGTTCTTCCTTTGAATCTTTGAATCTTTTTCACTTGTACTTTTGGCTCAATTATTAGTGGCTGTCGCCTACCTAAGCTCAGCTTTATACAGTTCAATGCATCACGCGCACGGTTCTCGTACAATGTGAATTTTTTGGGATTATTTATTTTCGTATTAGGTTTCAGTCATAGTCACGTGTAAGATATTTCAAGGAAAAATTTATTATACAATAAAATACAGATCATGGAAACGCGGTACCCATAAGAATGTACGCCTATGTGGATACTCGGTACATGTCAGTGCCACATCAATTTTGAAGAGAACCTCTTTTTTACTATTTGAGAGCTAACACTAAGATGGTCATGTGCTATTTATTGGCAAAAAGTTCTATGAACTGAAGAGTTGATTAAAAGACAGTACAAAATTTGATCCAACTCTCAAAATCAATTACCTTGCAATTCGGTTAATCAGGGAAAACAATTGACGTCATGCTCACGCTATAATATTGATAGATATTCGATATTGTTTTCAATTTTTAGAACCATCTGTAATTTTGTCACTCGTTATGTTCACTTTCCCTGTTCTTATTTTACATATTGGCATTGATACTTTGATTTTGTTAATTTTCCATTTGACCGTAGATCTAATACATTTTCCCTCATCAAGGTTCCCATGCGGTGAACGTGCAAATACTACGTTGAAAAATTTATAAACGAGAGAAAGTGGCCGTCTGTGACGTGATTAAATAACAAGTTCATGGATCAATGAGATTGCATGACATGCCATGATGCGAAATCGACACGCAACTTGAATCTAACACTAAATATCCTTAATTTTTCATCGAAATTGTTTATAAGTTAGTATATTTCATAAACAAAATATCATAAAATCGGATTAAACTCTTAGATTCATCGTTAATGAATTATTATTTACAAATACAAGGGTCCGGACGTGGAACCCCTCTACCTAGAGGTCCGTAAATCCCTTGCAAATCTCATAAATTTGTTAATTCCAGGTTTTAGGCTAGTGCAAGTGATGACACGAGCACTTTGCATGCATTCAGTAAGATCTGAACAAGTATCCTTCAATTTCTGAGTTGGAAATCTCGACGCTTTACTCAAATATACAAATTTTATAAGTTTTGTAGCCAATGAATTATTAATAATAAACAATACAGACGACATAATCTTCTTGTGAATTATGTCTAATCAAGTCGAGTACATGTTGCGTCGATATTAATTCATCAAGTTAAATGGGTTATATGAATTAAGCTGATCGTGTTGATCTCAAGACACGACAGGTAATCTCGTCGGATCAGCGTCAAATCCGATGATTTCTATGTGGTTCACATCGTGCCACGTGTCGTGTGAGTAACTGTCACCCGGATCAGTCGTTGTGTTTCCATCAAGTACTCTAACGATACCATGAAGTAAAGCTATGGGATTTTCGTCGGAACTGCTCTCACTCGTGGAATCACATTCGGCGCGATTTTCAGGAAAGCAACCGATGACGGTTCTTCAAAGCGTTCTGCTATTGCAAGTGGCGGAGGAGAAGCTAATGCGCGCGGTTCGGTACGATTCTTACGGCGGAGGAGCCGCCGGTCTGAAGGTGCGAAACGGGGTCTGCTCTTGATTCTTGGTGTGGTGAGGAGACGTTCATTTCTCGATGATCTGAAGCGGAAACTCTGGATCTCCGTGCTTCGATCCGAGCCTCCCCGTGATTTCTAATCCTCGTGCATGCTAAATTTGCACGCCAATGCCATGAAACCGGAGTCAAAGGAAGGGTCCTTTGTAACCTGCTTGAAGATAATCAGTTACAGTGTCGTACTTTGCTTGATTCAACGTTTAATGAGTCTCTTTGGTTGAGCTCATGCTGCAACAGCTTTTGATTGTTGATGGGTACATGAATGAGGATCCATTGATTCATCACACCCTGCTTTGGGAAGGAAGAAGATAACAGGTTTCGTATCATAGAACATTCTCAAGGCACGAGAGTGAAAGAGTGAGGCTAAGCGAGCTGCAAACTACTGGTGCAACATGGAATAGTGTACAACCCTTTAGTTATTATCTTATGAATTTCATGCCATATCGAGCACGGAGTTCTCTATTCTTGCGTTGTGCTTATCCAATGATGGATCGCAGGGGCCGCGGGTTGCACCCAACTGCTTGGTGCTTGAGTAAATTTATACCAATATCGACGGAACTCGTAAATAATAGATATCTTGCCCCCGAGTTAGGAAGTGCAAAACCTTTTTTTAAATTTCTTCCTTCTGTGCCATCCGTTGTGTTTATCTAGTTCCCTCTACGATCTTCAAATTGAAACTTATGCACCTTCTCGGACCTGTTCTTTGGTGGAGCATATATCTTCGGTTCGTTCTGGTCGGAGTGGGATTGGACCTGATTGCAAATCTGAATCGGTACTACTGTTTTTGTTGTTGTTCCTTCTTGTCTGCGTTAGCTGTAAGGTATGAATCCTATAGTATCATCAGTGTCATGAATGTCTCCTTTGATCTTGTTTTCATGTTTTACAGATGAGGATGAGTACTGCTGTTTTCCACTTCAGGTTTGCTCTAGTTCTCGTACCTCATTACCTGTTCTTGTGCTTCTTGTAGCATGTAAAAGTACCGGTTCCTGAGCCAAAGAATGATAAGGTTCTGCTGAAATTGGAAGCGGTTACTATAAATCCCGTCGATTGGAAAATACAGAGCGGAATGCTAAGACCCTTTCTTCCTCCGAAGTTCCCTTACATACCTGGTAATGATCATGTTTGCCTTGCAATAAGAAATGTTCTGTTTTTGGCTCCCTTCTCGACAAGAATACGATGGTTTTGTAAAGTATGGGGCCTCTTTTTTGGGTGAAGAGATGTTTCTTAAAGATTGATCATATTTGCTTGGTGATGCAATACAAAGTACACTCAACATAATAACGAAGTATGAGGAAGATAATGTCCTCATTCAACTGCGTTACTTTCGTGCACTTTACTGTCAGATGATTTGGTAATTCTGTGATGCTTAAGGTCTGGCTCTTCATTTTGTGAACTATGGTATGCTAACAACAGCTGTTCCAGCTCTGAGTTTCATAAATGGCCGGTTGTTTTGTTAAGCACATGAACATAATCAACTACCAAATTGCAACTTTGGCGTGCATATCTTTCACTTCTCTTTAGCTGAAGAGATTCTTCACTTGTATTGTACAGCCTGCGATGTCGCAGGAGAGGTGGTTGAGGTTGGTCCAGGAGTCGAGAATTTTAAAGCTGGCGACAAAGTCGTAGCCTACCTCAGTATTAGTGTAATGCTCATCCCTCATGTTCTGCACATGTCATCTCTTTCAACTAGTTTTGCTCGCGTGGAGGATCAGTTGAGAGAGTTTTTTGGTAAAACTGACAGCTTTCTATGTCATCCCTCATGTTCTGCACATGTCATCTCTTTCAACTAGCTAGCATGAAGACATTTGTTTTGCCTGTCTGTTGATATAATATTTTCGGTATGCTTTAATTTGATAACACGACAGAACGGTGGTGGATTTGCCGAGTTTGCCGTCGCGAATGAGAGTCTAACAGTGGCAAGACCACCTGAAGTATCCGCACCAGAAGGGGCAGGGTTGCCTGTAGCTGGCCTCACTGCTCTCCAGGCCCTCACCCAAGCTGCTGGGGTAAAGCTCGACGGGAGCGGGCCACTGAAGAATATCCTGATCACTGCTGCCTCAGGCGGCGTCGGCCACTTTGCAGTTCAACTCGCGAAGCTAGGAAACACACACGTGACTGCAACTTGTGGGGCTCGCAACATTGACTTCGTCAGGAGCCTCGGCGCTGATGAGGTCCTCGACTACAAGACCGCAGAGGGAGCTGTCTTGAAGAGCCCATCCAGCAAGAAGTACGACTTCGTGGTCCACTGCGCGCACGCTTTCCCTTGGTCAGTTTTCGAGCCGAATTTGAGCGAATGCGGCAAAGTGATAGATCTCACCCCGGGCATCAGCACAATGACGACTTTCGCTCTCAAGAAACTCACCTTCTCGAAGAAGCACCTCGAGCCATTTCTGTTAATACCCAAGGGCGAGAACCTGGAATTCCTGGTGAAGTTGGCTAAGGAAGGGAAGATCAAGACCGCCATCGACTCGAAGTATCCGCTGAACAAAGCTGAGGATGCTTGGGCAAAGTCGATAAGCGGTCACGCCACTGGTAAGATAATTGTAGAGCCATAGGGACTAATTGCTGGTGCTTTCTGGGCGTGTTGTCTATGATAGTGATTTGCTTCTTGCTGGGAATGTTATTGAACATTGTGTTCATTTTCTTTCACTTTAGACAGATTTCTGGAAAGCGTAATATCACTTTGAACGGAGCGATTTTACATTACAATGAAATGCTTATGAATGTGTTCTCTTTGAATCTTTGTCTTCTTTGTCGCTTGTACTTTTGGCTCAATAGCTTGAAAACAGTTGAATTCTGCTATATCTTTGCTCCTTATTCTTGTACTTCTACTCTTCACTACCAAACTTAACTACTAATTATCAGCGCCATTAGAATTTTTCCGTGAACGGGCCCTCGTACCATGAGTAAACTCTTAGTGAACTTACCACAACGTGGAAGTAATTATGATGACGTGTTTACCTTCTTCGCTATTTGCCTAAAAAGTTCGGAACACGTAACATAATTCATATTATCTCAGTGACGTATTTTCACATATGTCCATGACAAGAGCACCCATACATGTACTTCACTAATTGTCGAGTATCATCACACCGCTTGTAATGGCTCGATCCGTCTATGTGGGCAAACTTTCAAAAGAATTGATGATGAATATAACATTGCAAAAAGGGTTGGTGAAATGAAACCCAGCGTACTTCCAACTTGCATGACCACTCACCCATTATTATTCATTTTATTCTAATTGTGGCCATATTATACTTAATTTAAGCTTATTGTGTCTTACCATAGTATTCGATGTATTTTTTTTTAAATTTTTTGGACCCTTTGTTATCGTATTAGGTATCAATCATAGTCATCTGTAAACTAATTTAAGGAAAAATTTAGTAGACAAGAAAGTCCAGATCACATAAACGCAATACACATAAATATGTGAGCCTATGCTGATAATCGTGTTGAAATTAAAGGGATTGGACGATGATTGAGGACACATGATACGCTACGAATGCGCCGTGTGTCATTGTCACATCGATTTAAGGAGAACCTCTTCTTTACTATTTGAAAGCTAACGATAAGATGGTCATATGCGATATATTAGCAAAGAATTGTATAAACTTGAGAGCACATAAAAAAAATTTTGTTCGAACTTCAAACTCAATTACCTTGCAATTTAGTTGATTAGACTAAGGAGCTGATGTCATGCTTACGCCATAATTTTGATGTACAGTCAATATTACTCTCAAACTTTAGAATTATCCGTAGTTTTGTTGCTCTATTTACTTTACTTTTATGAAATAAATTTATGGTCTATTATCGAAATTAAAGTCGAGTTTTTGAAATTTAATGCTAATTCTAATTTGTCTCCTAGCTTTGATAGTGATGTTTGTCCTAATTGTTATTCCAATTTGTCTTGTAGCTTTGATAGTGATAATTGTCCTACTTGATGAAAAGTCTATTTATACTGTCTTTTGAAAAATTGGATATACAAATAAAAATGAAGAGTTATTTTGCCTTTTCTCATCTTACATATTGACATTGATACTTTGATTTTGTTAATTTTCCATTGACAACAAATGTGATACCTTCTCCCACAAATAGAAAATACTCTGTCAAAAAAAGTTTATAAACCTTGCCAATACCATAGTCAAGAATCAAGATAATGATTCCCTTTCGTCCGAAGTCGTGATTGTTCGCGAATCATGCCTTTCCTGGGGAGCTTCTCGATAGCAAGTGGGGGATACGAAGCTAGTGCACGCGATTTCTTACCAAAGTGGGGGAACCGTCGTTTCCAAGGCGCGAGACCTTTTGCTTTTGATTGTTATTGGCGAGACATATACCATAGTAGAAGATTCGAATAAAAAACTCTAGGTTTACTATAAATAGAGCGACAAGAACAGTGGCCTCAGTAGAGCTGTCAAAATGGGTCTATGATCTACTTCTTAATCCATGTACAATGGACCGAATTATTGTATGGGTTAAGTAAAATTTGGAACAAAAAGGAATTGGCAGGAGTTAATAAAAAGCTAAGCCCAATGGGGTTTTTAACGGGTTTACACCTTACCCAACCCAGCTAAAAGGTCGAACGCAGAAATCTTATAAACATGATTAAGACAGCTTAGGAGGAGAAGGTGGGCTTAAATTGAGGTCGCTCGTTTTTTTCAAGTAAGTCAATGAGATGAGGTGGCTTGTTATGGTTCATATGTTTTTATTCTACTATTCCAACGATTCTGGTCGGTTTAGGGCAAGCTTTTCTTTTCTTTGCTTTGCTTTAATCTTTTCTCTTTTTTGACCTTTTAATCTCATTTTGATTGTGGTTTGATTATTTACAGCAAAATGGAAATTACCAAGAAGGAAAAAAGTAATGCAATTCACCATGGGAGTGGCGTGGGGCTATGTCATGTGCCTTTCCAAAGCAATTCTAATTTCTAATGGCAAGTGTGTGCATTTCGATTTCGAAGGAACAAACTTATTGACTCTGTGAATAACTTTCCAACCGAATCACGACGCTCATGATCGCACATCGTTATGGAATTGCAAACTTTACAGAGAGTAAAGAAAATGTAGGAAAAAATAAATAATTAGTTTTTCGTCGTAAATAGGTTCTAATGGGTTTTGATGGATTTGGCGATGGAAAAAGGATTAACTAAACTCAGATCAATAAAGTATGCATTCAAAGTGTGTTCCGTCACAACACATGCACACTTTCATAGTTATTTATAATTATTTCAATTTATAAGGTTTTTTTTTCGATTTTTACTTTATTTACAAACATTTTTTATTGTACTAATTTACTTTTTTAATTTGATATGAAAATTTAATTCAAGTAACATATGCACACATGAAGAGTATAAAGTGGGTTAAATAGGTAGATAAGGGTTTCATAGGTTGGATTAACATGAACGTGTTTTAGTACTGCTAGAATAATTAAATATTAACTCACGCCTTCATCTGACAGCTTAAATTTTTAGAACAATTGGCAGTGATCTCAATAAATCTCACATGATATCAAAGCTGGAGGTCCTGAGTTCAAATTTAGTGCTAGGTAAAAAGACCAGACTAAGCGCATTCATTAAACTTTTAGAACAGTTGACTGCGATCTTATCAAATCTCACAAACACTATAGTATGAATTGGTTATTGCTCACTAAATTAGTGTTGCATATAAATGGATCAAATCATTTTCAAACTTGATCCAAATTCGACGATTGCCCTACCCCCGAGCTACTGGCAGAACAGGTAGCCTCTTAGTCATTATTCCATGAATGTCGTGTCACATGGAGCATGTAGTTCTCTGTGTGCATACGATGATGGACAACCGTCGCCGGTGGTCTGGGGGGCTGTCTGATCATCTTCTTTGAACTGATAAGAAAGATCTGCCCAACACGAGGATAGAAGTACAAATGACGCTTTTTCAACGTTCTACTTTTCTGACCAAAAGAAAAAAAACCGTTCTACTTTTGCGTGCTCGAGGCAGGTCCACCTTCGGTTATCCATCTCTTGTGCAAAAGAACCCAAAACCGTTTGAACAATTCAAGTTATCACCGCGTTCCGATCCGATTCCGATCTGGTTCTAGACGGTCCTGAAAGGTTCTCGATCCCAATTTTTGGGAACTGATGGGTATTGATCCGATTTCCGATTTCAGGTGTAGAACCGCCCACCTGGACCAGACATGTAATATAATAATAATATAATATATTTATTTAATTTTTAATTTAAAAAAAAATTCTAAATTCCTAAACAAAACCTAACTCGCTCAAAGCTCGCAGCCTCACATTAAGTCGAGAAACACATTTTTTCGCCTTCGCCTCATGCTCACTCTCACTCTCACTCTCTCACTCTTCTCGGTCAATGCTCACCTCACCATCTTCGTCTCCATCTTCGTCCTTGGCTGGTAAGACCGGTTCCATGGACCTACTCAGGAACCGAACCAGACCAGCGGTCCGATTTCCGGGTAAATCCATGGAACCAACGGGCAATTTCCGATTCTAATTTTTCGAAACCGATCTTTAGTAGGCGGTTCCCGGCTCTAAAATGAAAATTACCCACCCGGACCATACTCACCCCTATCCACACCTTTGCTCTCGTTCTTCTCAGGCTCGCAAGACGAGAAGAACCAAGTTCCGGTGATGCCCTCGTTCCGTTTCCCCTCGCCGAACCTTCCACAGACAAAAAATACGCAAGAAACTGTCCCATCGAAGTGAGGCCATTCCGGTCATTCGCAAATGGAAATCCGCGGCTATCTATACGTGCACGCCTTTGACCAGATGACATTTCATGCCCGAAGAAATTTCTTCTTGCGACAAAGCTTCTTCCACCTCTCGCGCTATTTAGATCTTCACACAATTCGGTGAGCTTCGGGAACGAAAAATGGCGGAGAACAAGCCGACGATGCATGCGGTCTGCTACTTGTCTTACGGCGGAGGATCCGCCGGGTTGAAGGTGCGAATGTTTCGGCTCTTGATCGTCTCGTTATTCATGTGCACGTTCGCGTGTTGACATAACGAAGTTTGCATGGGCGTACAGTGTTTATGTGTTCTGGGACAACTAATGATGTCCATGGATCGTTGTCACTTTAGTGAAAATGTCGAAGCCAACCTTTCCTGCTTTTTTTATTCTGCTGTTCCAAAGTAAACAGAGGAAGAAGCTGTTGGGGGTTCTCGTATGTTGGTTGTGGGAATGTTTGTTTGGTGGACTTCTTGGGATTCAAATTACGACTTGTTCTGCTAGCCTGTTCTGTTCCAATATTATTATTGAGCCAACAACTTGTTCTTTTTAGCAATTGCGTCAACAGTTGAGAATACGGAACATTAAAAATTGAGTGATGATGCTATCAAGATTATGACTTTTGCGCAAGCACGGCGACGGAGTTCGGTCTGGTTTTGCTAGAGCAACAGAGTAAACCGCTTGTTCTGCTACAGTTTTTGATTTTTTAGTGAATATGTTAGGATTCCATCGATCAACACGCCCTCGATGATCATAACTTTGGTGTAGGAGTGAATAAAGTGGCACAAATTAAGCCCCAAGCTTATAGTTCTCTTGGCACGTTTATCTGATTCCCTTATTGAGCGTTTGATGATATCGTTTGCATCCTCTTTCAGTCCCTTTTCGGCCAAGCATTTTCTTTTCTCGTTACTTTGTCCTGTTTGACCAGACCCAATCAAGATTTTGGGTGTTGGCGTAGAGAAAAATTGACGATGAAACAAACAGAATTAAGTTTTTGACAGGAATGTCTATCTGATAATTTGAAGTCTACCGAATTCGATCTGCTGCTACCCTAGAAGAAGACCGGTGGAACTCGGGGACAGACGTATACTGAAGCTTACATATGTTAGATATACTTTTGTGAATAAATGTTAGATCCGTTTCTCTTTGAGTGTTTTGTCATAATACATGTTGGCTGGAGTGTTGCTCCTTAGATTGCGTAAAGTCAGGAATTTGGTTAGCATAAATCAGTGAAAAAGTGATCCTTTTCAAGTTAATTGATCTTTTTTTTCTGTTCTTGTGTGAGCTGACGCGTATTAATCAGAGGATCTGATTGAATGTTACAAATGTCTCCTCTGTTCTTCTTTGTGTAGATACGTGCTGAGTGATTTGGGTTGCCAAATTATTTGTGTTTCATTTATGCTTTTGATTTGCATTACACACCATTTTACCTGTTCTTGTGCTTCTTGCAGCATGTGGATGTCCCGGTTCCTGCACCTAAAAAGGATGAGGTTTTGCTGAAACTGGAAGCAATTAGTGTGAATCCTTATGATTGGAAAATGCAGAAAGGAGTGATGAGACCATTTCTTCCGCGCAAGTTCCCTCAGATACCTGGTATTGTGTTGAAACTGGAAATTGCTCTTTTTCCTACCTTGTTGAGAAGAAGTGTGATGGTTTTGTTTGTAATGTATCGATCTTTGGGTGAAGAGTTATTTCTTAAAGATTGTTCATTTTTGCCTGGGCAGGCAATATAGTCAATATAGTTGCATTATGTCCTCATTCATCTTTTTTTTTCTTTTGCTTTTGTCTGCTTTATCACTCATTTTGCGCCCTACAGTATGTTAAGAAGAACCAATTCATGCAGACTATTTTGCTACTTGAAGTATTCGTGTCTGTCATTGTTTTTCCCCTTATCTAACCTGTGGGCATGAGCCATTTCAGATGACGTGCAATCGCCATACTGTTTGGTTGCTTCCCGAACGTGCGCGCGCACAGGAATGATTGTGTTTGTGTGTGTGTGTGAGCATGTACTAGATAATCTGGTTTGGTCTTGAGGGCAGGACATCACTTTGCTGGTTTTGGTGTGAATTATTTGGAGATGGGCATGTTTGTTTTGCCATGTAGTGTGCTCACTCTCTGAGCATCATAAATGGGCCAGTTATATTCTTAAGCATACGTGCGAATATAAGTGTAACTTCGTATCTTTTGTCTCTTTGCCTTCATTTTTACAGCCTCGGATGTAGCAGGAGAGGTTGTTAAGGTTGGACCGGCGGTCAAGAAATTTAAACCCGGTGACAAAGTCGTAGCCACGCTCAACATCCTTGTAACGCTCATCCTTCATGTTTTGCCTTCATTTTGACAATGATGGTGGATCACAAACTGGAATTCCCGAAATCACTAACTGCTCTCCTAGTCAGTTTGTGAACTCCTACAGGTTACTTCAGGCCGGCTGATGTTATATATCATTCTGTGCTTTTATGTGATCATCTGACAGGCAGGAGGTGGATTGGCTGAGTTCGCCGTTACAAGGGAGAGCCTAACAGCGGCAAGGCCACCTGAAGTATCAGCCCCAGAAGCGGCAGGGTTGCCCATGGCCGGTATCACGGCTCTCCAGGCCCTCACCCAAGCTGCCGGGGTAAAGCTCGACGGGAGCGGGCCGCTGAAGAACATCCTGATCACCGCTGCCTCGGGCGGCGTCGGCCACTACGCGGTCCAGCTCGCGAAGCTGGGAAACACCCACGTGACCGCAACTTGCGGGGCCCGCAACGTCGACCTCGTCAAGAGCCTCGGCGCCGACGAGGTCCTCGACTATAAGACCCCGGAGGGAGCTGCCTTGAAGAGCTCATCCGGCAAGAAGTACGACTTCGTGGTCCACTGCGCGGAAGGATTCCCTTGGTCAGTTTTCGAGCCGAACTTGAGCGAATGCGGCAAGGTGATAGATCTCAGTCCGAGTGTCGGGGGCATGATGACTTTTGCTCTCAAGAAGCTCACCTTCTCCAAGAAGCAGCTCGTGCCGATGATGGCAACACTCAAAAGTGAGGATCTGGAGCTTCTGGTACAGTTGGTTAAGGAAGGGAAGCTCAAGACCTTCATCGACTCGACGCATCCGCTGAGCCAAGCTGAAGATGGTTGGGCAAAGTCTCTCAGCGGTCGCGCCACTGGTAAGATAATTGTAGTGCCATAAGACCAAGTACTGGTGTTATGTTATGCTGTTGTTTAGTACGCATTATATGTTGTTAGGGCTCTGCTAGCAAAATAATTTTTGAGCTACTGATAGAATAACATCATATTGTAAGCCATAAATTCTTGAAGGGGTGGATCATACAGCAATTTTGATTATTTGTTATTTATTTTTTTTATAACCCAAAACATGTTATTTTCATGGTAGATTAAAAACATTCACATAAGCATTTCTCATGTTCTTATGCATGTGTTGTGTGTACGGCCATCAGATTTGGGACCATTGGAGATGAGAAACAGTGTCGAACTAGCCAATGGCAAACTCATGTGCCAATTCTGGCTTATTGACGAGTAGATATTGCTATGAACCATCAAAAATGTCCTATTTGACAGTGTACTCTGCATAGGTTGAGGATACGGGGCGAATATAAGGTGGATATGATTCCAAACCGATTTTGATATTTTAGATCTAGAACCTACCCGGTTGTACCGGTTCTACATATCCTCATGCTAAAGTATCAAAGCCATTTTTTAGGGGAAAAAAAAAAGAGAAAAAGAAATCACTATTACTCATGCTTTAGAATAGTACTAAAAGCCTTATCCGAATATTTTAGGTCAAATTGATCAAGACAAAAGGGGCGATCGGTTTCTTAAGCACAAGAAGCATTAAGTCCTCCATCGTTAAATCTCTCTGATTTCGGCGTGGGAAACCCTAACCTTTGCTAAATCTCCCCCCTTCACTTTCTTGTCCGATTTTATCTATCTTCCCCACCTTTTCACTTCTCCTTTCAAAAATACCCTCGAATCGGCACGAGCCGGCACGTGAGATGGGCGCGCGCGCGCGTCTCCACCGTCCGCAATTCCCACCTACGTATAGATCTTGGGGGCTCGATGTCGCACATTTTGGTCAGTATTTAAGGAGGGGAGGGGGCTAATTGCACGAATTTGAGGTTGATGGGTTGTTTTGCGAAAATGGGCTCACAGTGGCGGGGGTGCAAATTGAAATTTCCCCAAAACAAAAGGGTGCCGTAACCGGATTGACGATTAAGGCCGTGCACTAGATCCCTAATAACCGATAGCACCAACGCCGCCTCCGCTGCCCCTGGCGGGACAATATCGTCATTTGCGAGGGCACCGCCGAAATAAACGAAGCAGTCCGGGGATACTTTTGTAATTACGGTTAACACAATATTGTATTGCCCGCGTGGGGCCCACCCCGCGATCCCCTACCTCTACCAAGCTATCCCCGATTTAATATTTTCTTTTTTTACCAAACATTAAAATATTCTCCGAGTTATTAAAATGTTTTTTTAAAAGTTTTATTTTTATTTTTTATTTTTTTAACTTTTCTTTGGTTTCTTCTCCTTTGCTGCGGAATCCTACTCCTCCTCCCTTCTTCAATGGCTTCATCAACACTCTAATTCTCTCTCTCTCTCTCTCTTCTCTCTCTCTTGTTCGTTCTCGTCTTGAATGGTTTCACGCATTGGCGTTCTCGCTCTGGCTCGTCGCTCGTCGGATTCATCGACCTCGTTCGGTTCTCTTCTCTCTCCTTCGAATCAATGGTGAGTTCGTCGATCTCCTCGTCTTCTGGCTCCTGCCGTTCGCAGACGATCCTTTTCGATTACGCAAATCCCGCCCCCTCTCTCCGTCTCCCTCTTCTGGCCGTCGTGGCTTTGCCGAGGTTATTGTCGTTCGGTTATTCGATCGTGTTGGAATGCGGTTGGGAGTTTTCTGTCGTGTTGCGGGGCCGCTGCTTGTTTTTTGGTGGGGAAAGATAAGGGAACTGATGACGAGAATAGGATTGAGGAATCGACTGAAAATTCGGAGTTTTGGCTTTGGATGGAATAGGAAAATCTCGAGTTGTCGGAGCGAGTTGTGGAATGAGTTCATTTATTGGAGTCCGATGAATGTTGCGTCGTGATCTCTTTTCGTTTTCGTGGCTTTGATGAGGTTATGTTGTTCGATTATTCGATCGTGTTGGAATGCGGTTGGGAGTTTCCTGTTGTGTGTGCGGGCTGCGGCTTGTTTTTGGGGGAAAGATAAGGAGCCGATGATGAGAATAGGATTGGGGAATTGACTGAATCCGGCGTTTTGGCTTAGGATGAAGTAGAAAAATCTTGATTTGTCGGAGCGAGTTATAAAATGAGTTCATTTATTGGAGTTCGATGACCGTTTCGTCGTGATTTCCAAATTCGAAAAGGTTTTGCCTTCCAAGGACTGATCTTGTGTTTCGCGGGCGCTCCTCCTCTTTTGCTTCGTGTGATAAATGCGTCCCGAATCCGATGTTTCTATTGCGGAAATAGGATTCTTGTTTCCTTTTCGGTTCTCCAATCGTGCACGGCAAACAAACGGATTAATAAGAGTCCGTCCTTTGTCGTTCCGAAAGATTATCTGATTTTCTGTTTATCTTAGTGTATCAAGTATGTAATTAGAGACTGAAATTATTCTCTCTATCTTCTTAACATTGCGTTTCTGTTTTGAAAGTAATTTATAAGAACGGCAAACAGGATGAATCTTTGTATTAGCCAGGAGAGTGAAGGACCCATAGGAAATTAAAACAGCTGATTCATGCTCAACTCCAGCGTATATGTGCCTCCTCGCATTGTTGAATTATTAATAAATTATTAGATTAATTCTTTTTGCAGCTCGCTTTGCCGTCTTAATGGGGCCTCAGTTGAAGGATGTGAAGAAATAATGATTAGATCGATCTTGTGTTGAGTTGAATGCATCTTGTACGAGTGTGCTAGTTGGAAGTTGCAGCATGTTGGGGGTTTTGTCCCTAATGCTCAATCGTTCCAACGCAAAGTCCGATGTTCACGAGATTGGATATTTTGTGCGACTCAATAACGCCAGAAAGTGTTCACAAACTAGTGGCCTGCACTGCGTTGACGGTGTAGAGACCTGCATTTTGTCTTTTTTGGAAGTCCCTTGAGAAAGTGCTGATTGTCATTTGCTGCGACACGAAAAATGGAAAGGTTTGCTGCTTCTGAGTGCTTTAAGTTCGATACTGCCAACATAAATTTTGATAAACTCACACAAACTATCCACCTGTATGTCTATCTTCCAGATACGAAATTTTGGGAGAGCTTGGAGATGGCACCTGCGGCAGCGTTTATAAGGCCCTCAATAAGGAGACACGCGAATTTGTAAGGGATCTGTTGTTGGAAAAAATTGATATGACTCAGCAGATCATGCGACTTACATGTTTTATTACTTATCTTGTTTCCCAACCTTCTTTTCTTTGGACATCATAATGATATTGATTATCAAGCGGCAAAAGTCGCAGATTGTGCTTGCTGCATTCATTTGTTGGCTTTGGTAACGTGGTGCCATTGCTGGAGTCTTAATAAGATTTGGGGATGCTTGGTTATGTTACCATGACTTAACTTTTTAGGTTCTTTTTCTGTTATTTTTTTGTCTGAAACAGTCTCTCTAAACGGAACAGATTCACATCCAGTTCTGGGAACCGTAGTGTGGTATTTGACATCTGTCGCCCTGTTGGTGGGGCTTAGGAACTTGATTTGTATGGTTGTCATTGTGGCTTCCTCTCAGGCCTTCATTTGATTGACTTTCATGCTCGTTGGAAACTTTACGTTTATACTTATAGAGTTCTTGGGGTGGGGCCCAGCTTGAGGAGCTCCTTCGGCATTCCTTGGTCAATGGAGCGTAATGCTTTGAGTTTTTCTTTTCACAATCTCAGGTTGCTGTTAAGAAAATGAAGAGGAAGTTCTACTATTGGGAAGAGTGCATGAATCTTAGGGAAGTTAAGGTACTTCAGATTTTACAGAATACTGTGCTATAAATTCATTCTACGTATCATATCGATAATAATAACTAATGTTTCCGCAGGCGCTTCGAAAATTGAATCATCCCAATATAGTCAAGTTGAAGGAGGTTGTCAGAGAAAACAATGAGCTGTTTTTCATTTTTGAGTACATGGTGAGTGATCATTTGTCCCCTCACCGATATTCGTGTAATTTACCTAGCATGTAATAGGAATGGTTAATGTACTCCCTTTTTAGTACAGAATGATTTAGCCGCTGACTTTACTTTAAAGGGAAGAACCTTCCACAAAACTCCCCTTGATATTTTACTGCTGTGCTCGATATATTAAGACATATTTACAGCCTCATAAAATATTGTCCCTGGTGTGTGCCGATGTGAAGATGGAGTTATTTTCTACAGGTAAGTTGAAAAGGAGAAGAATTTATTTTAATTAGGACTGAAGAAATAAATGGGTCTAAGATATATCCTACATTTTCTTCAAAATGAAAACTTTTGTTTATTAAATTTCTAGTGGCAACTTTTAACAGTGGCAAGCGATAAAACTTCTCCGTGGTCTAAGATTCTATCTTCGGATGATCAGCAGTATGATACAAGTCTTTCTCATCAAATGCATAATATGGTATTCCATGGAAATGATTTGTTCACGAAGATTTTTTTAAAGCAAGATAGTTAAGTGCTTTGGTGCACATGTAGAAGAGGACTTCTTGAAGTTCCATGTTGTAACTAAGGAAAAGTGCAGCTCCAGAATTTTCTCTTACATGATTAACCGACAGAATGTGTAAAGAGTGTAGTAGAGTGATGAAATCTTTTCGCGATGGAATTTGTTAATTAACATCCCGGAAAATTTCTTCAAACCAAGAACGCCAAAGATACTTTGGCGCACATGCAGCACTGACTGCATGAAATTTGTCAATTACTATGTACGGTGTTCAAGTTCCCTTGTGACTAAAGAAAATTACAGATCCAGAAAAGTGGCATTCTTCTGTGGCTTGGTTAGTACATGAAAGGTGAGGTTATTGAAGCGAAAATTTAATGGGCTCCTGTTCTTGTCAGGAATGCAACTTGTACCAGCTAATGAGAGAACGTCAAAATCCTTTCTCAGAGGAAGAAATATGTAACTTTGTGTCTCAGTTGGTGCAAGGTCTTGCCCACATGCATAAAGTAGGTTATTTCCATCGGGATCTGAAGCCGGGTAAAATTCTAATATTGGTGCAGTTGTTTGGTCCTATGCATGCACAATTCCCTGGTTCAATTTCATTTAGCATCTTTAGTACGCTTGAGGATTTTTATATCCAAGTTTTAGACAATTTACTTATCCTTCATACAGAGAATCTGCTTGTGACTGATGATGTCCTCAAAATTGCTGATTTTGGACTTTCTAGAGAGGTGGCTTCCATGCCACCTTACACTGAATATGTCTCAACACGTTGGTGAGTCTCTATTATCTGAGTTATTCTGGTAATTTTTGCTTACATAATGCAGCTGTCAGCTTCTGGTCAATGCAAATAGCGTGACTGAGTTGCTACATATGATCATGAGCCTTATTTCTTGTAGGTACCGAGCACCAGAAGTTCTCTTGCAGTCATCGTCATATACTCCTGCGATTGGTATGTTGTACGTACATAGAAGTCTGTACTAGAGATTATAATACAGTTGTCAATCTACGTCGAAATCTGACTTCATATCATGCAGTTGGCATGCTGAATTGTCAATATCAGTTAAGATGATCATTTTGGAGAGTATATTATGTTGGAAGTTTGTCTATCATGCATGCCATGAACCAAAAGATGAGCAACTGAATTTTTTTATATCAAGATAGTCAAATCATGCATATAGTGGAATACATTACACTACAACACGGTGTTATAGTGATGCAGCATGCAAGAGAACAGCACCATATGATATCTATTGTGCGCAGTGTACAGGACCAAGATTGTTGATAGGTAGTGAAATTTTATATTCTCTGGTATCTTCGATCCTGGCATGCATTATGGACATTATTCATTAGTATTAGTTGACAATTGAAATTCCATCACATGTAATGAGTTCAATATTTGTCACTGTTCTTTGGAAAACAACTAGCGGTTAGCTTGTGTGATGTAAAAGAAGGAAAGCGTTCACCAATATATTGTCACATTTAGTGTTAAGGTTGCTTAAGTGATCATCAATCAGGTTTGATATGTTTACCTGTGCTTAATGGGTATACTTGCATCTTGTAATACGATGACATACTTCATCAATCAGGTTTGATCTGAGAAGCGTACGTCTCATGAGGATTTCTTGTGCTGTTGCTGTAGATTTACTCGGGTGCCCATGTTCTCATGCACTTAATGGCTTAGTGTCCCTATGTGTGTAAATTCTGTGTTGATAGTTAGATCATACTAAGCAAATTCTTGTGAAGCACCTATATGAGCTTATGTATTTGCTTGTTTGCTGTTAATCAGACTTCCATATCCCATTTCATAGAAGCTAGTTATGCTCATGTCTAACGTTGTAGAACATTTCCAGACATGTGGGCTGTTGGTGCAATACTAGCTGAACTGTTCACTTCGTCTCCTATTTTTCCTGGTGAAAGGTGATTTTTAATGTTTTCACTCCACAATTATCATTGAAATTTATTTGTTATTTGTCCAGCGAATCATAAGTACAAGTTGCATTTAAGTTTAAATTATTTTTGGAGAGTTACCTGCAGATATAACCAATATGATCTCATAAAAGAAAAAATTTCTTATGACCAGTGAAACTGATCAATTGTACAAGATATGCTGTGTTCTTGGCATGCCGGATTGTTCTCCTTTTTCTGAAGGAACCAGTATTTTTCCCTTCATTAATATCAATTCTTCAGAGGTGAGTATTGATGTTAATCTGTTTGTAAATCCATTATTGTCATCCTCTGCCTTTAACTCCTACAAACCTTTTTTCTCTGGAAGTATTTTGTCGTCGTCGTGATTCATTGTTTCTGGCCAGATTCTGCCTGCCAATCTTTCTGCTATGATACCCAATGCTAGCTCGGAAGCAATTGATCTCATAATGGTGAGGAATGAACTATTGTTGGATAGACAATCATATTTTTCTTGCTAGCTATGGACTTATAAATTAACAGATGGTACTTTTTGACTAATATTAGCAACTATGTTCATGGGACCCTTTGAAAAGGCCAACTGCCGAGCAGTCGCTTCAACATCCATTTTTCAATGTAAGCATCCCTTCTTGTACTTGTTTTTTTTATTTCACCTTTAGGAAATGCTTTGTTAATACCCAAAATACAGGTTAGCAAGAGGGTTCCTTTTCCTCTGCGTGATCCATATGAGAGGAAGCTAGACAAGATGGGTGAGTCTTGCAGAATTGAGATTTTGTGGAGTTCCTAATGCGGCGGCATTTATTTAACAGATTTTACTGTATTTTGCCTACACTTCAAAATGAGAATTTTCTACTCCCACTTCAAAATTTGGAAAAAAATATCGAAGCTTAAAATTATGAAAACCTGTTTGTAGGTTTAGAATTTGGAAGGTTTCAGGTTTTCAATGTCAAATAAAAGTCAAAGCAAAGTTTGGAAAAAGCATTAGGTATTTGGAAAAAGTCTTACCAAACAGACATTGCTGCAGGTGCAATCCCAAACCTTGAGTTGAACCTGTGGGACTTTGGCAACCAACCTGATGACTGTTTTCTTGGCTTGACACTAGCAGTGAGGCCAAGTAATGAGAACTTGGGTATGTTTTTTAGTTTTCGCGTTCGGTTGATGCTCGTCTTTGTGTTAACTTGTGATAAGTTATAGAAATTGCTCCCGGTTCTTCATATGCATCAAGTAAACTTTTTGTCCTCTCAGTATTTATCATAAGATTTTTAATAGAACTTCTCTGCTATTCAGTTGTGAAGTTCAATTTCACTTATCGGTTCGAGAGGATTTTGAGGTGTTACATGCATAAACTTACATGAATATTTAATTCGCCTTTACATGCTTCTTGAGTGGGTGAATGATACATTCTTCCTGTCATTTTCTGTAAATGCTCAATTTGACTTGTGTTTGGGCGCTCATCTCTTGCATTGGTTTGACGCAAATTTTTGCTTGTCTTCCAATCCCATCTTTCTTCTTCCCCATTTGATTTCTATTGGCAATCATCTTTCTTTTCATATGAGCGATTCCTGCAGATTTGGTGCATAACGTCTCCCAGGGTATAGCAAAGGTGAGTTTAGACTTTGTAAGCGCTTTATGTAAATCATTGTTTGAACGTGCTAATAATGGGGTTCACTGCGTTTCTCTATTTAATACTGATTTTCAGAAACAAAAGTAGTAAAGAGACTTTCTGTTACTTACAATCGTTGTACTTTATTGCTCCTGTCCTAAGTGTAAGTTTCGACTGGTATCATAAACTAGCTTGAACTTCGCCCTGCAGGATATTTTTTTTGGCTCCGACTATAAAGATTGCGCAGAACCATCAGGCAAGTGTAGTGTTTAATATGGAGAAGGCTCTTTTCTTTGCTCTGAAGCTTAGTGTAGCGTTTTTTGAGAATAAATTTCTCATGTCTTTGATTAGCTGTCATTCACATTATTGTGGTTTTGGTGTTTCAGTTTATTGGTCGCTACTCTCTCCTAGTCAAAATCAAATTCAGACACCGGTCGACTCTTCATTGTCACTATCCTTTAGGTAATGGCAGGTTTGAAAGTGTACAATTTTCACTAGCACGACAAATGTGACAACCTTTTCCCAGATGATCATATGGAAAAGTTATACCTGGATGTTGATATGGTTGGTCGACTGATTGCTTTTTGATGAGAATGCAAGACTTTTCTTGGAGTGAATGTACGGTGAATGTTTTGTCTTCGGCAAAACCAATGATGTCAGTTGTACAGGCAAATTTCTGTAATGTGGATTAATTCTCATTACGGACCGCATTGTAGTCGTTTATTATGCTAATGAGTAGATTGTGCTTTCAGAGGAATGATATCTAATATTATCCTTGTGTGCTGCAACAGTTCAATTCGGCATCCCTCAATAGGAGTCCCACAGTCAACTGGGTTGACCCTTTCTTCTTTGCAGCCCGGTATCTTGGACTGCCCTCTATTGGCCATGCCCTCTTCTTTTCAGCAGGGTCATTGGCTTTGAGTTACTAATTGCACCAACGGTCAATAACAATATGCTCTGTAATTTATTTCAATTTTTTTTCTTCCTGTAAAGCTCAACAGGACATCAGTTTGATGTCCAGAAATGGACAATGCCCCGCGATGCATTTGCTTCTTGGGGAGTATAGTTCGGAAATACATGATGAACAAATTGGAATATGGAGAGGAGAAAATTTGTACAGGATTCTCGACTTCATTCTTGCCTTTATATCGACAGAGTAATCAAAATTTTGTAGGTGCTTGCAGATAAGTGGTTGCAAAGTTTATCATCACGTGTCTGGGTACATAAACTGCTCTAGGAACGAATCTTATAGGTTATCGTGATTTGGGAGGAAGGCAGTTTTTAATAATCCTAAATGACGGACACATGCTACCGGGAAAACATTCCCAGGTAGTAAGAGGGATTCTTCGCACAAGGAATTGGCCAACATTCCTGGTTAGGAACTAGGAAATGTCCAATGTGCCTGTGGGACTCAGGTCCTGTTGCTTCTCCATACGAGTCGAAATAGATTGAGATTTGAATGACGGGTGTGAGACTGAGTAGGGCCTCATTTTGTAGGATATTGCACATCGAGTACTTTGGGAGTGTTCTTGCGTTGGAAGGTTTTGCTTGGGTGGGCAGGTTATGAGTGACTTTTGTGAAACGTCACTATGAAAAAAAGGGGATTTTGATCAACTGTCCTTGGCTAATGTGGAAACACATCGCCACCCATTGTGAATTTATTGATGATTGGAGAAGGATTTATGTTAGATCAAGCCCGTCGATTTCATTCTCTACAGTGTCGAATAGAGGGATTATCTTCGCCTGCGAATTCGAGCTCCCGAGGATATGCTCTCGTGGCGGAGATTCTTTTCTGTGCTTCTCCTCTGTAGCTCATCGATTTGAGACTCCCACCAAAGCTTCCACTCCACCGTGCCGTGTTGTACCTGCGATATTTTAGGACAACCAATTAAGTAAACTCTATGGTCGGAGCATACAAAACTACCCGAATGGTGAAAGAAAAGTCGAACTTTATAACAAGCATGGTTGGTTTCTCCCCTTTCATACTTCTTTTCTCGCGACAAGCGAGTGGGTTCGTGTTAAGAACAATATCTGACTGTGATCGGTATATTAACATGTGCAATTTTGACTTCATGACAGTCGATTACAGTAAGACAGAAGCCAATTATCTTTGTCGTGAAATGTGGAAGCCAAAAAGATTATCCGAACTCGTGTGTAGTTTCCATCCACACATCGGCTATGATCTTTCAAAGACAACATCCAAATATCAATCTTTTGACACACAAGCTGCTTCACACGAACAACAACTAGAATCTCATAACCCTAGACCATTCTCAACCTAACACAGCATAAGCAAGGAAAAGAAAAAAGGTGAAAATTGTAAAAAGAAAAAAGAAAGCAAATACCTGTATATAACAGAATGGTTTCCGACCACCAATGGCCATGTCTCTATAATACAAAGCTCTGCTTGTAGGATCGGACAACGTCTCGTGGGCCTCCTGCACCTGAATGAACCTCTTCGTGTACTCTTTGGCCCTGTCGGGAGGCGACACGTCAGGGTGGTATTTCAGGACCAGTTGCCTGTAAGCTTGCCTGATCTCCGACGTCGTCCCACTCTCCGAAATGCCCAGCAGGTCGTAGAGACTGTCCGCCTCCGTCGCCTCCGTCGCCACCACCGCGCGGAGGTCGTCAACGGTGGCTCTCGAAGCGGGTCTTGATCTTGCGGAAGAAGAAGAAGACCCACATGAAGTCCTGACGAAAATGGTTGTGGCAAGTGGGCAATGAATCTTGGGCGGACACAAGGTCGGGGCACGGACTTTGCGCACACGGGGAAGTAGGTTTGGCTCATCTCTCTCTCTCTCTCTCTCTCTCTCTCTCTCTCTCTCTCTCTCTCTCTTTCTGCTTCCGCTGGTGAAACAAATGGAAGTTTCGATGTCTTCTTAGCTTTGGCACGAGATTGAATTGCGAGCCTCTGCGGCTCTCTGTATATACGAAGGAGAATGGTGAATTGGCAGTGGGGACCAGAGCCACCATGCGTGATGATGGCAACTCAAAATTGATTATGAATTTGAGGTTGGATCATGATTTGGATACGAATTTTATCTTAATTTGTTGGCTGACACGGTTGTGATTTGATCCCATGTATAAAAAATCGATGATCTGATCCGTGCACAAAAACGTGTCATGAATATTTTGGATACCAAATTGTAATGACGTAAGCCCAAACTTGTTTCATCAACAAGCGAATGCACGTAGTTGCCATTATGCCACTTCCTTTCTGATCGGTACATTGTAAATGTAAGATTATAATTATAATCAAGTCGGTTTCACAACATGACACATAATTTGACTTCAAAATTAGGATTTGGTAAATTGTAAATGTAAGATTGTAATTATAATTAAGTTGGTTTCACAACGTGACACATAATTTACTTCAAAATTAGGGTTTGTTATCTACGCCACAAGAAAAAGATCACTAACACCTATATACGCCGCGAGTCATGACCTTCAACGAGCACAAATAGGAGGAATGGTGGGTCGAGGATTTTTGGTTACGGTCTGCCCGATTTAGTTACTAATCTGAAACATGGTGCGGTCTTGTCTGTTTTGAATATTTCACTATACAAAAATGATATTCAAATAGAATAATTTCAAAAACCGTCCTCACTTTTGCGGGCACACATCAAAAGATTGTTTGGAAAATTTACAATTTGCATGGGTACACAAAATCCTCCTAAGAAAGACCGAGCTACCTACTATTCCACCTCACCTGAACCCCAATCCCCGCCACACGGCACCCCCCCCACCACCCTCTCTAAACTGGCCTAGTTGGTGTGAAGCTCAACCAGATTTAGGGCCTCTCTTAAAAAGCTTAAACCATTAAATAAAAATATCGTTCAATAGTTAAATATTTAACGCGAGTGACAGAGTAGTAGGGATGAAGGGAGAGACGAACTCCGTCGGAGCGATTGTCAATGACTCGGCTCAAGGCGGCGGAGTGGCGAGGTGGCGATCATGGGCCACGCCAGCAAGGAGGGGCTGAGCTTGGATTGGGTTAAGGTTTTAGTCGTGTGGACCTTGCGATCGATGATGCTTTGATGCAGTGAGAGAGCTAAATTGGAAGGAAAAATTACGATACCATAATATAAGATTAAAACCTAGATGCGACTCAAAACGGAATCCTTCACGTGAGGGTAATTTCGTGTGGGTTATGGAAAGTCTCCCACAAAATTATTCTAATACCTATTTACGACACATCGAATCCAAGTTTTAGAATGTTTAACCATCCGGAGGGCGATAAGCGAATACCATAGACGGTCGCTGTTACACGTTAGCTCGTGACATGACGTTGGAATTTGAGCGTGCATGAAATTATATACAAAAACTGAGATTGGCGACAGCGTTTCGACGAGGAGGAGGACGGCTCTTAATTCCATGGAAAAGATGGGCCGACGTTTGCTTATTTTGATGTTGATCACTCTCAACTCCAAGTCATGACTCATGACCCTTCTTTAGCTACTGATGACGATCGACAGCATCCTCAGAGATTTGATTCTGACGGATTTGCCAGGACGTTTCCATCAGACCGTCTCCTTCTGAACAGCTTTCTCGAGATTCAAATTATTGTTTGCACGGATTCTGTTGAACTGCCTTCATTCGACCCTTCTTCTGCGATCGATATCTTGACATCAATATCTTGACAAGCGGTCTTTTTAGTAGGATACGTGCAATCATCCTCATCTCATAGCTCTAATAGTACCCTCTGTTGCATGAAAATATCAGTCCCCATTGTGTCCTCCTCTGCAGAAATAGTCGTTTTGCTTCATAAAATTTCTCCACTAGAACCTAAAAATCTTCTAATCAATTCGAACCCAAACTCAATCACCAATGATTCCCTTCTCCCCGTCCGCCGTCACGAGGACCTTTGCCCTCGTTGGCCACCACCAACCATAGGTGCTTGCATCTCTCTCTCTCTCCCTAATTGAGTGGCCAAGGCATCAGTGACCTTGAACCGAGGTTGCCGGCCTCGTTGTCCGGTCGAGATCGCGAGCTGCATGGAAGCCATATTTCATTCTTACGTCCCCGGGCCACGTAAAAATCGCATGCAGCATGCACCTAACGGGGGCGCAAGGCACAAAGAGGGTCGTACTGACTATCTAAATCAGGAAAGACGAATGCTTCGAAAACCAAAGACTTGCTTATTTATTCATTACCCCCACCTACGCCGACAATCATGTCATATGATATACATTAAAGATACCCCGATCAAGCTCATTTACAATGACCTTTCAGGACAAGCAGAGATGCTTATGACACGGCCCAAGGGAGCAAAGGGCTCCGAGCTCGTCCATGAACGAGACATGGCCCCTTACGTGCATGGGACATGGCCCATTCGTGCATGGGACGTGGCCCATCCGTGACTAGGCGCGAACATCATCCGCGACCCTTCAGTTGCCTCTGACACACGACCATGCGGCTTCCCTTGGCAGACGTCCCTTGAGCTTCCCCACGCCCCTAGGGCCTCTGCAACTTCTTGAGTAGCTATGTAATGATTGTATCGGTTTGAACACCACCATTGGATCATGAGGGGATCAATGGATCAGATTAGACCCGCACTTGTATATATAGGGGACCCTTCCCCTTCATTTGTACATGCTCATTTCTACAAGAAATACAACTACGAAGCTTTCTCTCCATTCTTGTGAATTCAAGTGTGTGTACAAGGCTAACTTTGGAGTGATCCTAAGGCCGCACGGGTGTGGGATCGTTGTTAATCGACCGACCCGTGACACTTAGCTCAGTGATGACCACTTTGAGACATTGTGTATAATTTTAGGTGGAGCAAACGCGCATCCCTTGGTCGATGCTCCCATTGGAGGCCAAGTTGCCCAAGTTGTGGTACCCCACACTCCTGTTGTAAAGCAGGACAAACGTCAAGAAGTGGGACCAGATCATTCTCTGTTCTACACAAGCATGCAAGACAATAATAGATAGACTTAATCTGAACGTTTTCGTTTATTAGAACTGGATTTATAAAGCATATGAAAGAAGTCTATAGGTTCAATGTCTCTGATATAATCGTAAAAATCAGAAAGTTCTACAAAGGTTTGTATGATATCATAAAATAATTCTAAAGTAAGATTGATTATATATAAAAATCTTACTAAATAAAGAAACAA